ATCTAGCCCATATCCAGTACATTTATTCATCATTCTTGTATTAATCTCTAAACAAAAACATTTATGTTAGAAAGCAAAATAGAGTGGGGACTCTTTTATTAGCATTTGAAAATATTTGTAAAAATTTTGTTTGTTTTAATTAATAATTATTATAAACTCTAATGTGTATTAAAAACAAAAATGTATAAATAATTTAACTGATAACATCAAACAGAGTTTAATACAGAAATACAGGACCAGGATTTAATTCAATATCTCCGGAGAACATTAGTTTCTTGTGACATTGTTCATTGTCATTGACAAATATATTGCCTGCTATGTTTTGAGTTTTGACTGTTTAAAATATTAAAAAAAACTCATTAATAATTCATGAAGAAAACACAAAGAAAAATCATAAGCGTGTCGTATCTGTATATGTGATACAGATTCATGTTGATTTACATAAACTTTAACTTTGATTTTCTCGGCTTACAACGTTTATTTTTAAAATTAATATTACTTCGCCAATGAACTCATATGTCTCATAAGCCGAGTGCGAGACTGTATAAATACATAATAAAATAATAAATATGTGGTATTTGACTACTTATCAGATGAGGATAAGTTTCCATGTCGATAGATAACTTTGCCAAAATGTGAAAATGGCAAAGAACAAGTACGATCGTACTATAGTGGACCAGAAACTGCGTGACCCAGTTTCGATCTTGTGCAAGTCGTTAAATGTTCAAAACCTTCGAGATTTGACTTGATAAACAAATAGCTAGACACTTTAATCTCAAAATTGAATGGCAGCGTAGACTGAGTTCGCTAAATGTTTTGCTTTAATTTGGTCATGCAAGATAAACTTTATCCGAGCAAAAAATGTGTCTAGTCATGCCGTGTATAAATGAGTGTAAATCTGGACAAAGCATATAGATAACTAAATGCCAGTGGCGGCGCCAGACTTCCAAATTTGGGGGGGGGGGCATTTGAAGGGCAAACTCAAATTTTGGGGGGGCAAGATAGAATTTTTAAAAAAGGTCGCCCCCCCAGGAAATTCGCCCCCCCGCCTCAAAACGTGGCGATATTCCTAGGAATATTGCCCCCGGGGGGCGAATATCCTAGGAATATCGCCTCCCAGGGGGTGGGACGAATACCCTAGGAATATCGCCCCTCTTTAGGACATTCGCCCCCCATATATGCGATGTGGTTTATTCAAATAATTTCGTGATATTTTCATCTTATATATTATTGCCTTACACGTTTGAGAATTTAACTCTGCAAAACTAAAGCTTTTTTGTCTTTTTTTGAAACGTATTATTGGAGTATTGGCAAGTTTTACCATTCAGAGATTTACAAACTAATATTGAAACTGTGAAAAACAGTTTCATGTATACGCGCATTCACTAATGAGTAATGACAACTTATAAGCCATTCATTTTCCGATAACGACAGAACGCTTGTGTAGCCTTTAGTCGCTCTTAGTGACTAATAATTTTTTTTGAGGGGGAGGGCAAAATGGGGGGGGGGCAAAAAATAATTGGGGGGGGGAGGCGATTTGCCCCCCCCCACAAATTTTGCCGTGCCGTGCGTGCCATTGCAAAATATTGCAGCTACAGTCGTGTATACGTGCCGTGTAAACGGGACTTAAGTTAATGTAACAAATTATCTGAATTGTTGCTATAGTATAGGTTAATGCAGTTTATTTCGCTTGGTAATGGCTTCATTACTGCATGCCGTTGTGCTAAAAACAAATTGACATGTTTTTATGGTTCGCGATTTTCTGGCTATGCAGGACTATGAATATTATATGATAGCCAGATAGGAGTATACTACTCCTCTGCGCTTTGAGAAACTAAGCCAGCGTGTTAAATTAGTTAAGTCTTAACGCTTATAATCCCCGAGCCGACCGCGCGAAGCGCCGTGCGAGGGTACTAATTCCCCCCGGCTATTTACACCCGGGGAAACGAAAGCATTAGCGAAGTCTAAAGTTCATCAAATATAGCGGGCGTGCATGGGTCACTGTGCGTGGGTGGTCATCCTCACTGATCTCAAAAATATGGCGGACTGTCATGAACAGCGAACACTGGGATTGGTCCAATTTAAAGTTTGCATTATAACGACTGCATGACGACAGCGAAATAGCAAATATTTCTTGATTTGATGATTGATAAATTTCTTGCAAATATATTTCATTGTTGCTCGCATTTTTGCGAGATTTTGTAAATTTCAAGAAAGAAATTAAGGGCGAAAAAATCAGCTAAAAGAAAGGAGCCGACGTTAACGAAGGTAAATTTGTTTTATATATTGATTTTATAATTGCTTTAAAACCCGACGGCCTTTGCGTGTATGAAACAACTAAACAAGACAGCATATAATTTCATTGTATCTTTAATACTGATTCCCTTTTTAATTATATTGAATTTTTTAAATAAATAAAAAAAAAGAAAAGTTATTTGCATGCGAGAATTTGAAATCATTTTATTGCAAACTCAAAGTTGATCGATAAAGCCATTTAATTAAAGGCAGTTTTACAGTTTTATAAAGAACACTTTAAAACGTTTTGCGAAGCGTTTGTGGTTGAATGTTACCTTAAATTGAAGCTTATAGTACGTATAATATCATACCTAACATATACATGTTGGGAAATTGATAATTTTGTAATTAAAGAGATATTTTTATGCGATTTTTCATTTGTAAGAATATTCTTAAAAAGATATCGTGTTACCATAACAACTACTTTAGATACTTCATGTTCGGAAAATATAATGGTTTTGTCAGCAAGGCGCGGGTTTCTCCATGCATGTATTTTCTAGTTAATCGTCATAATTAGCCGTCCACATTCTTGAGAAGCTTTAGGCTATTGTCATTGTGTTCACAACGAACAATAGAAAAGACAATGTCTTTCTTATCATTTGCGTTTGCTGATATATTTGCTGAATATTAATGATATGTATATATTAATTGCTACGAATACAGTCAAAAATTGCTTGTATTTCGCTTCTAAAGTCAAAAATGAAAAATCGAACACCGTCAATCGATGCGGAATATTGCTTAGAATAATTATGTCAAGTTTCATTCCGATCAGACAAGTAATGACGGAGCCTTAGGGTTTTTTCAAAGAGCGTCGCTCCCGAACAACAACAACAACAACAACAGCAACGACGACAACAACAACAACAACAACAACAAGATTAGCAGCGATTGGGGACCAGTTCCTGGTCCAATAACACGAGGCCAAACGCCACCCGTTCGCAGGTTAGATGCGGGCACGATGTAAACAATTGATGTAAACTGATCGCTGATTGGTTTAAATTGGCCTAATTAAATTGGCTGAATTATATAAGCTCGTCGCTGAATGGCTACGTGCTAACATACGGTACGGTCACGTTTGCGATAGCATATATATCTGCTTCGCAGATACAAAAAGCGAAGCCAAATTATATATGCGAAAATCACTTCCGGGGACCACGTAGTGACACAAATTACTATAGAAATGTATGGCGAAGAACGAGAACCAAGGTGAATTTTGCCGAATTTTTGCCAAAACAGGAAAATAAGGAAGTTATCAAAATCTTGCTGGACATTGTCAGAACACTGGCCGCTACATCCAAGACGGGCGCCGCAAGTGCTAATGAAATCATCACAACAGTGAACAGTCATGCGTTGAACACAAACGAGCTTTTTTTTTAGTCGTATGATTTCACTGCCTCAATGTCTGGTAAATTCAATGGCACTTAACAAAAGCTTTAGGATAAATTGAATCAAAACATTCCACACATTCCTTGTACATGTCAAGGTCACAGAACAAATACACTGGTGGAATACAGCTGCGATTCAAGTGTTATCGTGAAAGATATGTCCCGAATCCTCAAAAGTTTATACGTATATAGCTTTTTCGAAAAGTAGGCTAACTACTAAGCGGTAAGATCGGCAACTAATTATTACTAAATGAAATAATCCTTATCATCTTTATTTCTGCAATTTATGTTTAGTTCTGTGAATAAAAGTTAATAAAATGGAAACATTTCTTAATTAAAGTGTCTCCTAAATAATCCCCGAGCCGACGGCGCGAAGCGCCGTGCGAGGGTACTAATTCCCCCCGGCTATTTACACCCGGGGAAACGAAAGCATTAGCGAAGTCTAAAGTTCATCAAATATCGCGGGCGTGGGTCACCAACCGTGGGTGGTCATCCTCACTGATCTCAAAAATATGGCGGACTGTCATGAATAGCAAACACTGTGATTGGTTCAATTTAAAGTTTGCATTATAACGACTGCATGACGACAGCGAAATAGCAAACATTTCTTTATTTGATGATTGATAAATTTCCTGCAAATATATTTCATTTTTGCAAGATTTTGTAAATTTCAAGAAAGAAATGGCGAAAGAATCGCCTAAAAGAAGGAAGCCGACGTTAACGAAGGTAAGTTTGTTTTAAATATTGATTTTATAATTGCTTTAAAACCCGACGGCCTTTGCGTATATGAAACAATTGAACAAGACAGCATATCGGGCCCCATTTCGGTGTATCTTTAATTCTGATTCCCTTTTTTATTATATTGAATTTTTTTAAATTAAATAAAAAGGAAAGCAAAGTTATTTGCATGCTAGAATTTGAAATCATTTTATTGCAAACTCAAAGTTTATCGATAAAGCCATTTAATTAAAGAATAAAGGCCGTTTAGCTTTATAAAGAACACTTTAAAACGTTTTGCGAAGCGTTTGTGGTTGAATTTTAAATTAAATTGAAGCTTATATTACGTATAATATCATACCTAACATATATATGGTGGGAAATTGACAATTTTGTAATTAAAAGTGATATTTTTAAGCGATTTTCATTTGTAAGCAGAGATTTGTAAGAATATTCTTAAAAATTATCGTGTTACCATGGCATGATGGCAACTACTTTAGATACTTCATGTTCGGAAAATACAATGGTTTTGTCGGCAAGGCGAGGGTTTCTGCATGCATGTATTTTCTAGTTCTACTTTTGATCTATTCATCCTTATTTTAGATGGGGAGAGAACCTGAAAGGAGTGCAGAACACCTTAAAGCTGAGAACCCTGTCATAGACAAGGTGGACAAATCGAGCAGAATCTATACGTGTAGTTTGGACAAGCTACAAGCTTATAATGAACGCTTTATCCGCCATTCTGAATTCAGTGGTAACTTTGACAACAGCACGAAGTGACTGCGAAAGGCTTTTACGATAAAATGATGTCAGTAGATTTCATTTTGTCGATAATGTTTATGATGAACTTCATGTCGAAAACAAAGTAGATGACAGAGATATTACAAGAGGAAGAATTACACATCCTTGATGCTATGACGATTATCAGGGTCCATGATAGTCTGAAGAGAATCAACCACGACTCTCATGACATTGATGACGAAATTCATGCCGGTATTGTGTATGCAGGCAAGTTAGGCGGTGATCCAGAAGCAGAATTCAATTGTAAGCATCGTATGAGAAGACCACCAAGGAGGATCGATGATAACCCAACTCAGTCGCAATTAAGCGACGCTAACAATGATGCAGTTTTACTGGAGTGAATTCAAATCCGTGCTCGAAACGCAAATTATTCAGTTGGGAGACAATCTGATCCAGTTCTTTGAGGCGGTTAGGCCACTTGCAACTGTGTTGCAACCGCCACTAAAGCATCCCGACTTTAAAGATGTCCAAGAATTTGTTAGCCTCTTCCTCTCAAACATTCCAGTAGATTCTTTTGTTTTGCATGCAGAATTTGGCAATTTTGTAAGTCATGCTCTGATCACACACGAACGTCAGACAAATGAGAAGCTGGATACTATCGCTAAAGTGGCCGAAAACTCGCTGAAGGTTTCAAATAGCTTTCCCACTTACCAACAAAGCGTACAGACTTCTATTGACGGCGCCTATGACAGTGACTAAAGATGAGCGAACATTCAGCAGGCTCAATCTAATCAAGACATATTACCTAAGAATGTCAATGAAGGAACAACGATTGGAATCTCTTGCGGGAGAGATATTACAAATACAATTGGCATTGACGCAATTGCAGCCAAATTGGTAGAACTTACATCTCGAAGAATCAGATTTAGATGAGCAAACTTAATCGACTTATAGTACGATTGAGATAAATTTTACTTGAGATATGTTGCTTATATTATCTCTTGCGGGAGAGATATTACAAATACAATTGGCATTGACGCAATTGCAACCAAATTGGTAGAACTTACATCTCGAAGAATCAGATTTAGATGAGCAAACTTAATCGACTTATAGTACGATTGAGATAAATTTTACTTGAGATATGTTCAATAGTCGGCTATCATGAATTCATAACCGAAAATAAAACTAATCACTGTGCACTAACCACCAATAAAACATTCATTGACATTGGACAAAGCAAAAAGTATTTTCGATACCCGCAATATATGTGATTGTTTTATGTGGCTCCATACACTTTTCTTCATCGGAGATAATATTGAGTTTTCGTGCGAAAATGTTAAATATATGCAAAAGTAACTTTCAGTCTAAAATCCTAATAACAAATCATGTTTATTTTGATGTTTTGAGACATTTTTCTCTCAAAGAACATATTTCGTCCTGATTTAGCCCTGAACATTGAATGACTAACCTTTCTAGAAGACATTTTAGAGTAAAAAGCAATGTTCAACGTTCAAACTCTTGTAAAAACTGGTGATCGGCCCGACTGGCGAAAAGATTTTTTCCTCCAATATTTGGCGATTTATAAGTTTTTTGTACTTACAACTGGTAAGTATATTCAAAGCGTTACTAACAGCAAACGAATTCAGTGAAACAGCATCATGCTTTTTCGTTCAAACTGTTTTAAATTGTCAACAACAACATGAAAACACACAAGTTACGATTGAAAACGAATATAAACCTATGTAGAAAAGTTCATACATGTCACACACATCTTATACCAAACGACACAATTAATCACCTGTTTTTTAGGCGTTATCCCGAGTTAGCATGCAAAACTGAAGAAATTTGCATTTCTAAGCAAGATAACACAACTTGATAATTCGACGAGACTAAAAACTTTTTTGTTCGTGTTTTTCTGGAGATGCGCCTGCGAAAACATGTACGCATGATCATTGATCTTGAAGAGCAAGTGAATTACCACAATAAAACGGCGTAATTCAAAATTTTGCACGGTGACATGTCATGAAATTTTAACCAACGATAACTTCTTTTAAAACAAATAGAATGTCAAAATTTAAAAAAAATCTGTAGCCAGATTGGAAAACTCCAAATCCGCATTTTTTTATTCTGGCTGTTCTAATCTACAGAATTTTTTATTTTCAGGGATAAGTTTCCGCATTAAAAGTGAGACCTATACATGTGAAAAATAAGGTGTCACCGGCAATATTTGGAAATTAAAGAATAAAAACCTGCTTAAAATAGGAAAAAAGTAGGTACCCCCACCCCCCACCCCCCATCCAGCGACGGAAGTAATTAGTATTCAAGCGAATGCATGTATGACGTCAACAGGGCAGTACGTCAAAGAGTTCGTACTTAGTGTACGTCTGGGAGTTCGTACTTAGTGTACGTCCAGTTTAGTAAGCATTACGTAATTGTATTGCACATGTCCATAAAAGAGACCGCGCGTTTATTCACTGATATCACTGCATGCTAAGCCTTTGAAGATGAATTTTTCACAAAATTTTGAGCAATCGAACTGGGCCAACGGTGTCCATGCTGACGAAGTTTCGTGCTCTGATTATAAAATGCTTTTTAGTTTGTTAGAGACTTAGAGGCTATATATGCAGAAGTTGTTGCTTACGAAGTTGGTAAACTTACTAAAGAGAGTAGTTGTGGTTGTCAGTACGATCATCCGAGTCAACGCCAGCATGATTGTATCATGTTATCAGAAGAAGAGAGATGGTAATCGTATGGTTTGGAAGCCATAGAGCGAGTGATTGTTAAGCGTATGGTTTGGAGGGAGTTTGTTGAAGCTACTAGAGTGATGAAGTTACAGTATCAAAAAGGAGATAAATGGGATTTGACGAATACGAAAATGTATACATTCTTATAGCAAAACATGGAAACGAGGCTTGTATTTCGTTTTATGTTATGTAAACCATTTGACAGCTTCGATCACTTTAAATACATTACTGTTTGCAAATTTATGTTCACACTGATTTAAATAATATTTCAGTATGTTAGTGAAGAAGTATTTAGTCATACTAATCTATAGTTTAATCCTTACGCTATTTATGTCAAACTGCGAGCTTCGAATAATAATGAATTATATAACTTGGCCTTTGAATTCGTGTATGCATGGGTCTTGCCATAAGAGCAGTCTTACTGGACGCAATGACACGTTAAAATGCGTCCCGTAAAAAATACCGTGCGTCCCGCATATAGGGATACCTCTCAAAGTGTCCCGCAAGCAAGTCCCGGGCATCCCGTAGCAGCGTCGCTGCGGCCTGTTTGACAAGAGGAATCATTTCACTCGATCGATGCCGCGAACACGTAAAGACTGTCCTCTGTGCGGAAAGAAAAACCTTTGCAAATTATCAAATCATTTGGCAGACATTCACCGTCTATCAAGTGAAGAAAGACGTATTTATCTGAGTGACGCCAAGTCATCTTGCGCAGATGAAGAAGACTACAGCAATAAACACAGATAAAAAAGAGCTAGAATGGATAATTACGATGAAGGGTCATCTTCCTCATCTCAAAATGGCGATATTTTCGATGGTGATGACGAGAAAGAAAAAGAACATAGCAGTGAAGAAGAGAGCAACGGCGAAGAAAACGAGAACAGCGAGGAAGATGACAGCAAAGAGGAAAGCGAAGACGCAGAACACGAATCCAGCGGAGATGGAGAGGACTACGACCCCTGGCAAACGTTGATACACGAAGCAAAACTGCAACTTTTGGATAAATTTCAAGAAAACGTTGAATGCCTTAATAATGAGAGTTTTAGAGAGGTTGAAGCTAAGAGGCAATCGTTTTCAGAACATCTTCCCAAACTCACAAGAGAACTAGAAGGAATTTATGTAGAACGGCTGCTATGGATGTCACACATGAGAAAAGATCCAAAGCGAAGACGAAGAGCACGAGACCAGCGATGATGGAAAGGACTACCATCCCTGGCAAACTACGTTGATACACGAAGCAAAACTGCAACTTTTGGATAAATTTCAAGAAAACGTTGAATGCCTAAATTATGAGGGTTTTAGTGATGTTGAAGCTAAGAAGCAATCGTTTTCAGAACTTCTTCCGAAACTCACAAAAGAACTAGAAGATATTTATGTAGAACGGCTGCTATGGATGTCACACATAAGAAAAGATCCAATTCCTAAGAAGATGATGCAGACAAGAGATCATTTGATTGACGTAGATTTCCTCGACCGGGGGGAAGCTTTATAGTCGGCAGTAGGGTGGAGAAGAGAAAGTTTCTTTTCAAACGTCTTTTAGAAATTCGACAACATTATTCAGACGATGAAAGCGATATAAACGAATAAATTGTCAGGTATTTCTATATTTTCAAAAATAAATTTCATCAATCCTATTTGTTTGTCTTTATATTTGTTATAGTACTCATCACACTGAATCGAATTGTTTTCTCTCGATTTTTGGCTTATATCAAAGGTAATCCGAGCAGAAAAGGCCAAACGAGCCATACGGGCAGAAAAGGCCAAACAGGATCAAGCGGACCATACGGTCCGAGCCTTTGTTAAAGGAACCATGTGCACAGCACTCCCCATAAACCTCATGCACAGCACTCCCCGCAAACGCAGTGTAAAGTGAGCTGAAGCAAAATCACGCGCACATAACGTGCGCCTTGCGTACGATCTTAAATAGTGCATAGTGCTTCTCATTTGCGTGTTCCGTGCGACTCCACACTGCATGGGGGCATAAGCAGGCAGGAAATTTAAAACAAATTTATTTCTCGCCATAAAGCAATAGCTTGAACTCCGTCTCAAGAAATCGAGAGTCGTCTCATGATCCTTCCCAAACTTTTTAAAATGTTCCGCTGCGTGCTCAAAAGGGAGATGAAGGCGGCAACACGAAATCGTACTGATTTTAAAAGCAAAATATCGTTGCCAAAGCTATCGCGTTCATGTTGACTGCATGCATCAATTAACACATGGATTAACACAATAAAGCGCACGCACGTTTCTGTTCGTACGAAATTGTTCGTACAAAACTGTTCGTACACTGAAATTGTTCGTGCGAGGAGAGTTATCGTAAAACATATGCGGAGTATTTGAAGAATAAACATTCTAATGATTAATCATTGTACTCATGCTAGTAGAGAGTTAGTGATTATATTATAAAAACAAATAAGTTGAGTTGGCTTTCTTATTGGAAGAAACATTTAAATTGTTGTAATACTATGTGAACTTGAATAAAACAAACTGCTGTTCTCTATTTTCTCGGGAATGTACATCATTATTATTCGAAGCTAGCATAAGTATCACAAGGACCTCAACAATAACATAATATACACCCATTGTACACATCATACGTAACTACGCTCGCACGCTGTGTCAAGCTCAGTACGAATTCTTGGACGTACACTAAGTACGAA